CGGAGCAGTGGAGGGCTGCTTCCAAACAGTCAGTGCGTGGTCAGAGCCTTACTGCCCAGCGCCTCTGAGCTGCTCCTTCTCATCAGAGAGGATCTGGCTTCCTCTCCCAGGGTATACAGGAAAAACTCTTTGCTCTTCTCATTGGAACAGGGAGCCTGTATTTGCAAATGCCCAATTTCCTTTTAATTTGCAATTATAGTAACTAAAATATTTTCAAATATATTTAATTGCAAAACAGGCATACAATACTATGGCCTTAATAATACATCTTTGAAATGATGTAACTTTAACATAAGTACCAATGGACACAGCAGAATTATTTCTATGAAATCACAGTACCAGCCAAAGGTTCTTAGTTACTGACTTCCATCAGCACTATTTAAAAAGCCTCCTTACAAACGCTAGCACAAAAGTAAAATGGTTTAATTTTCACAAATACACGCACAATTCAGTGAGGCCAGATTTCTATCTCCTCAGCTCCCTGAAATAAAGCTGTGCACCAAGAAATCAAGGTGCAAGATGCAGTGAACGCCGAGGGAGTGGATGGGCTGTGGGCTGCCTGAGCAGGAGGCACCAGGCCAAGTCACCCACCTAATGGGTTCAGCTGTGCAGAGGCGACACAGCCACAAGGCACCGGCCAGAGGCAGCACAGAGCGCTCCAAGTGGGAAGCGGCTCCCACTGGCACAGGCAGGGTGAACCCATGCTCAGTGCTGCTGCAAAGAAGCTGGGAGGCCAGCTTGGCTTGGGAAATGTCACCCCCAAAACGAACCCATGCACGTGCAGAAAGCAGTCTTTGGGTACCAAACGATCTCACATAACTTCGAAACCCTCAATAAAAACCTACTGGCCGTAGTTTGGAAGGAATTCAGGCAGGGAGTGCATAAGGCTCCTTGGTATCTCTCTCCTTCTCTCTCTCTCTCTCTCTCTCTCTCTCTCTCTCTCTCTCACACACACACACACACACACACACACACACGCATGCACACACCCGTGCGCAAACGCATGCACACATGGGTTTTCAGGTTGTGGTGGTTATTTTCATTATACATAACAATGAAAAATAACTTACTTTTATCTGGAAAATTCACTTTAATATCCCCACCATACTAAAAGGATAACTATGGTATCTAGTTTTAATTTATATATTAAAAAGACAAACACATTCTAAAAGAACAGTGTGACTTCTACACACGTGACAGCAACTACAATGAAAGTTCACGTATTTTCTTGATTTTGGGTGAATTATTTTTTAATAACTGAGCATTTTTCCAGCATGGAAATGCTAAGTCATACCCATCAGCTACAAGGTTTCAAAGTTTATATATAAGGCAAAACCTCTTACAAAAATAACAATGTCAAAAACAATTATATCATGAATAGACTCTAATGCTCTGGTAATAATCATCACCGGAAATCCAATTAATACAGTGCAGCAGTTAACAGGTCCAAAACTTGAGGCTCTGGGGAGCCCACAGGTCACGCGTGGCAGAATCATGGCAGCTGTGTGGGGAGAGTGGCCAACACTCTCATCCACGGGGCCTTGCTGTGTGCCCTGTCATCTGCAGGAGAAGCAGCCACCTCCCCTGAAGATCAGGCGACAGTGAACCCATGCACTCAGCGGCACCTTAGATGACCATCCCAGCCCCATCTCGGGCTGCACAAAGATGTGTGTGACAAAGGGAGTTAGAGTGCCTAGGAGTGACCCAGACAGGGGCGGCTGTGTTTGTCACCTCTGACAGCACTGCAGGAACCTCCTGATCCTTATTCCATCCTGAGTGGGCGTCTCAGAGTCATAAACACCCAGTGACAAAGCTGTGACCAGCTAGCTGGCCAGTGACACTGCGAGGACTCTCCTAATCCAGGTCCTGCCTCCCCCACCACATCACTCCAAGTATGAGGCACTTCATCAAAAAATACACCAGTAAGAAGGTTCTGCATTGGCATTCACAGAAGTTCAACTTCCTTGTGAAGTTTATCTATTTTAAAGGAGGAACTATTTTTCATGTAAGTCATGATTCCTCGGGCTGGAGATTTAGCTCAGCAGCATAAGCGCCTGCCTTACAAGTAGGCAGTCATGAGTTCAATCCCTGGTACCAATAAAAAGGAAAAAGACAAAAAAAAAAAAAAAAAAGTCATGATTCCTCCACTGCCTCAAGGCAAAGAAGACTTTTAGTACATTAAATACAATGACAGTAACGCCACGAAGTCACTTCCAACATGTATATACCATGCACACACACACACACACACACACACACGCACACACACACACACAGTTCAGACAAACGAAACAGTTGTCACCACTCACACAATGAGGCCATCTTTTCCCTGGGAAACAATTCCACACTTTGAGAACCTGAACTATAGTATAGTGCTAAAACTTGATGTGTTTGTTAAGCTGTAGGGTCCTTTTCGATCTCTCATAATACAGTATTACGAGACCACTTCAGATAGACACCAGCATGTCAGTTGCCAATACCTGGACATTTTAGTATATGAAAAAGTTATTTAAACCCTAAGTAATTTTGTCTAAATACATTTCATAAGTGGCTTTTGCTCTTGTACTACAGCAACTGAACAGTACAGAAAAACCAGTTGCAAAACTATATAAAAATAACTAACGGTTTTATCCGAAACAATGCACTTAACTTACCTATGTGAAAATTACTGTGAGAAGAGACTTTTAATTAGGTAATTGAATTAAATTACAGGCCATGTTTACTGTGTAAATTAAATCCTCACCAAAATTATTTTAACACTGCACACTAACACTCCAAGTAAACAGCCAAGCAGTGAGCTAGTCTCTCCAAATAGAACGCCTTTTTAATATGTGCAGCATGGGACCATCTCATCTTCAGACAAGACTCAGGGGCTGCCGAGCGCTTCTTCCCCCTAAAAGCTAAGCAAGCCTAGGTTCACCCTGGCTGTGCAGCAGGGCCATGGTGGCAATCTCAGGACACGAAGTTTCATGCTGCGATGGAAAAAATGTTCTCAAATTATACTCTGGTCAAGGTTACCTGACTTGGGAACACACTACAAGCCAATAAAGTGTGTTCTTTAAATGTTATGTGAATTATATCTGAACAAAGGAGCTACCAAAGGATAGGAAACAGCAAAAGAAGCTGTCTCAGGAGACAAGGTCTAGGGAAAAGGAGATTACATTGCATTTAAAAAAGAAAATCTGTCGTGCGACTGCTAAAACACGAGTCTATCTCTAAAGGGCACCTAAGATTAAACAGGGAAGGAGAAAATCTTGTCTCATCTCTGACCTTTTCTTCAGTTCTTAAAATAATGTATTTTTTGATTAAGTAGATACTGGTTACTTTTTGTTCAATTCTTCTTTGGGGGGAAAAAAATCACTAGTTCTTGAGTATGCAGCTATGTTAGTTAAAAATTATGCAATACCTCCAAGGTGCTGCCATGTGCCTAGGCCTGTGACACAAGGGGCACACGAGCACTACCTCTCCACTCTGTGTACTTCTGTGTTTAAATGGTGCTCGGCCTCCTTTACTCAAGACAGGGAGCACAGATCACAGTACCCTGGACAAAACCAAAGCACTGCAGAACTACAATTTCCTCGGTCCCACCCAGGTTACGATGAAAAATGAGGTCAGCAGCCATGAGGTTTGCAATTCCCAACACCCTGGACGCAGGAGGGCAGTGAGGAATCCAACTGAGACAAAAACATTGGTCTGGGCCCACGAGACACTTCAGCACCATTTACAAACAGGAATGATGTACGAAAAGATGGGAATTGAAGAAAAATGTGTAAAATCATAACATGATTACAGATAATAATATAATCAGCCTTCATTTTCTGTGGGTTCTGCCGCTATGGATTCAATTACCCTAAGTGGAAAATATTAAAAAATAAATCACATTTATATTAAATCCATACGGGCTATTTTTCTTGTCATTATTCCTAATACAGCATAATAAGTACTTTTACAGCAATTATACTACCTCAGGGCCTATCATTCAGAGAGATTTAAGGTATCTGGGGGAATGCATCCAGGCTATCTGTAGGAACAGGTTACATGTGAAGACGCCATCGTTTTATGGAAGATGTGGATCCCCACGTAGGCATAGGAAGCCAATGGCCCAGGGACGTTGTACCTGATGAGCCCTAGGTATACCGATGGCCCTGTGAGACTCCTGAGTGCGAGCACACAAACAGTAGGACATCTGCATGTGTTTCTCGGACACATCGCTAGACACACACTGATATACTCGAAATCATATAAAATGTTAAGTCTCCAGGAAGATGCTACTTGTCAGTAAGTGTAAAATACCATGGGACATAAGTGTTGTGGTTTAAAAACCAGAGCAAGCTTCAAAGCTGTTAAGGTTCCTCTGCTGCATACTCTGCTCTGTCTAGCAAAGCAGTGTTAACACTTTTACTACATGCAGAGATAAAATAATTCAAGAGGGGACCAAGAGCAGAACCCCGAGTCATGCTGTCACAGCACCTAGACATGCCCTCATTCTGCAAAGTCACACTTTAGCTCATGAGATAAAAACTCTGAGTCTGGGCCAGGGGTTCAGCTCAGCGGCACAACTATCTACTTGTCAAGCATGAGGTCACGAGTCTGATCTCCAGGACCAAAATACCCAAAAATCAAACAAAAAAATCCCCACGGGTCTCAGTCTCCATGGGGAACTCCCTACAGCCTTGGCTCTGCCGTCCTCACCATCTGTTTCACCATTTAGAGTGGAAGGAGGTCCCACAGTATGGCCATTTCTCAGGGGGCTCCTGTGAGCTCGAATCAAGGACAGGATCCACTTCTCATTAAACTTGGGGACTTGCCTGACTTTATGATGCTTTGAATAAGAACGGCATCTCTCTGAGCATCATGGTTCCAATGTGCAATAAATACAGTGGCATTTTTCCTTATTCTGAAGCTTGATTAAATTCATAAGGGTTTATGCTGAAGAAAAGTGTGTCCAACAGCCAAAGCTCCCCAGCAACTACCTCCCGGCCAGTGTGAACTATACTTACGTCAACGTCCTCTTGCGTGAAAGTCTCTGGGTCCTCCCCCATCATGTTGGCCAAGTGTCTTTTCCCTATGTTGAACTCTTCAACCTGCTTTTTAATAAAGTCTTCTGTGTACGGCTCATGTCTGGAGGCAGGAACATTTTTCTTTGTTGTTACAACTGTAGTACGAATTAGCCTTGATAGCTATCAGGAAATATAAAAGGAAAGAAAAGACTGGATATTAAATGGTGCTCTAGCAGGTTGTCCCTAAATAAAGCCGGGTATTCACACAGTTATCTTCTTTACTATGGTACTTGGAGGACAGGTCAAAACCAAAGTTCAGAAGCTGTTGTCTGCTCAAAAGCTCACTGACCAACAGGTTAACCTACTGTAGTAGTGCCGCAGTGCATTCGTGTCAAAACGACCTGCAAGGGACACGACAGACCCTAGAGTGGACACTAGTTGGCCAACAGCAGCAGGCTGTGACACTCACCAAGGGGAGCGGAGGAAGAAGCCCCTTCCTCAGGAGGAGGCAAACACATCTGCAGGTCAGAACACCCAAGGCAGTGGGCAGGGACCTCGGCACCGACCCTCACACAGCGGGCACTTGGCATGCCAGAGGGAGAAGGACAGCTGTGGACTTCAAATAGGTGCCTCAGATGGGACTTTACTCCCTGGTCCTTGTAGGACAGACAAGCAGACAAGGTAAAGACAGGATGCCAAAACTGTTTTACTAAATGCTGTGAAGAGTTCTTGCTAATTTGGTTCCACATGCAAGTAGAAATAAAAGTTGTATCTTTTCAAAGCATCAGTCCCTGTATCACACTTATCACACTTATCACACTTGCTGTGAAGTCACTTTTGCTGTCACACAAGGAGTTTCCTTCTGAAGCATTAACATTTTGCCTTCAATAGAGGGTGTTAAAAGAATCAGAGAAAAAATTTTAAACAATATTCTACTGCAGCTGGATTTAACCAGACAGCTCTTTCTGGTCCTGGCTTTGCTAAGATCTCATCTTGCCCTGACAGTTCTGAACACTCTGAAAGCAATGGTCAGGCTTTCACACTGCCCTCAGTCATCTGCTCCCCTCCCTTGTGACGAACATAACATCACTCACACCCCATCAGCCCACTGCTCCCACATCTTTCCCCACTCCTTGGGTCACCTTTACAGTAATTCATCACTACAGTTACTGTAGATATAACTTAAAAATACAGGGAAAATATTACAATATCCAGTGAATGACAAAAATTAAAATACAAATTAACAAATTGAAAGAAGTTTCCTCTAACTGTTACCAGATAAGAAAGGGCAGGTAAAAACTCCAGGGGGCCAGGTGTGGTGGTGCACGCCTCTAGCACTTTGAGAGGCTGAGGCAGAAGGATCACAAGTTCGAGCCCAGTTTGAGCAACTCAAGCTACTTAAGAGACCTTATCTAAATAAAATAAAATAAATTAAAATATCCCTACATGTTCCGGTTTATTTCTCCTCAGGAGCAACACAGGCGTTTCTCCTTATTCAGTGTCACTAATCCAGGGCCGTACTGTTGCCCGTGTTTCGAGCAGACAGTGAGCAGGGAGGACCCCAGTGCAGGGTGCCGCTGAGGCACATAGGTCCTGTCTCACTTCCAGGGCTGTGGAGCTCCGCCTGCCCTGCCCCTCAGTTACTGTGCTCACCCCTTCTGCTGTCTCAGCCACACAGTGCTGTGGCTGCACTGGGAAAATGCAGGGCACAATCTTTGGTGCCTCCAGGTTTCCCGGCTGCAGGAGCCCTGGGTGATCCCATGGGTAAAGGCGCCCTGCTCCTTTATAGCTGCAGCTCTCTCTACACCATGCCCCGGCCAGTGCCATGCACACCAACCCTCTTCCCCAGCCATGTCACCCGTCTCAGGTCTCTTAACGCTTTACAAGGCTTGTTCCTGCTTTATCTGCCCCCCGCCCCCCTGTTTGCTCTGAACACAGAAGGCTGCTTCCTACATTCAAAATGAACAGTGAGTGCTCTTCTGCCTCAGAGATAGAGGCAAAGGCAAGGCTGAAAAGTAACCATCACATGGAGAGGCCACACTCCCGCGTACTCCGTGTCAGAGGAGTGTGCTGCTGGCTGTGTAAGTCACAGGCCAGGCTGTTTTCTCCCCAGGTGAAGCAAACGATTCATAATCTAAGCCAAACCAGGTTCAAGCAAATCCTGGATATACTCTCCTAGGTCACTAACGCCACACTGTCCACCTGAGTCACCAACCTACCCCAGGGAGAAGGACTGAGCCTCCCAGCATCAGTGGCTCCATTCTGCAAAATAAATTCTAGAGAGGAGCAAGATCTAGAGGCCAGCATGACTTCAACCTGGGAAATGTGGGTTTGAGATGTCCAATGGAGTGTGGGCCACAGGCCTAGGTGCTCCCCTCCTACCTGTGTGACTCTCAGGACAGGAAGCTACTGCAGGGGAGTTCCAAGGAGACAGAGATCTCTGCTGCCCAAAGAGACAGTAACTTGCAGCAAGGTGCAGTGGCAGACAGAAAGACAGTTACTGCAGTTTCTCCGGGAAGTAGGAGTGAGACGGCCCACCGAGTGGACGCGGGAAACAGGAGTGAGACGGCCCACCGAGTGGACAAGTGCTCAGTGTGATAAACTGGACACTTCCTGTTCAAAGAGCAATGATAGGAAGTTTAAAATGTAGACAGAAAGGCTGAAAGAAAAAAACTAGAAAAAATGTAAGTAACCATTCATACTGGATATAAGCTACAACACTACAAAAGAAACTCATATACCACCTAGTATTTTGTCAATGATCTTTTCCTTTCCTTTGGAGTTCCTTAGTAGGTTTCAGTGGTATATCTGATACACTGTTTGGTTCCAGAAGTTACACCCTAGGGTAGATTGTTTCTTTCAGTGCTACAAGGTTTCCAAACTCCCATGACATAATTTTTACCAGGAATTCAGTTCTGTTGAAACACTGTAACACTGAAATATTATAACCCTTTCAGCACCTAATTAAATCTCTCTAGAATATTTCCCCCCTTGCTTTTCATTTAAATTGTATGACATAGAACTCTAGTCTGTGATCTGACCCAAGTTTGAAAGCCTGGAGCTCAATGGAGTGTGGTGCAGCGTTTCCTTCAGGAAGGAAGTGGAGACCAATGTCCAAAGTTGGTGGCCAAGACCACAGCTCCTCCAAAGAATAAAAGGGGAAGCTTCCTTCTTTCCCTTGTTATTCCACCCAGGCTCCACCCCTATTGGCTGGTGCCACACATATCCTGGTAGGTCTTCCCTCCTCACTGTGCAGACTACACATGCCAATCATCTGCCAGGTAACTCTCACAAGTTGACGAGTCACAATTAATGATCACAGGGCTTTTTAAATTTTTTTCTATCAAAGTTCTAAATTATTCCAGCAAGGAACTGATACAAAAATATTTATATTCAAAGAAGTTCATCGCGGTGCTAGTACAATCTACTATGTTCATGAGGTTGATAGTATGCACAACACAGATCTTTAGACAAAATCCTAAGACTTCTTGGAAAGAATTTCTTTGCCACTGTGAAGAACAATCCCTAACAAAATTTTCTACATGTTTTATTTCCAAACAGAAAGAGAGGAGAGCAAATTCTTCCCCAGACAGTGTTTCCGGAACAGTACAGCTACAATGGGACAGATTTGTTTCCTGCTGAAGACAACCAGTGGGTCACACACATATGATTTCAAACAAGCAGGCTGCCAAGGAAGCAGACACGTCCTGCCAGCAATGCTACCCGAACTGGCCGCAGACAGTGGTAACTTTAATGGAGTATTAGGAAGTTTCTTGTTAGTTTAATTGGATCGAAATGGAACAAAGAAGAATATGCTTCTAACTGGAATAGGAAAAGAAGAAAAACTACTATGAGGAATCTTTTAAAAGGCAAAGACTGAAGTCAGATTAGAGAATCTGCATAGAAAAAGCAATGAGAGGACTCGCGAGAGTGACTGCGGTAACCTTTTTTTTTTTTTTTTTAATTTTATATAAGGAGGAAAAAAAAACTGGAAAAAGAGTACAAGTCATACAAGATTTCAGAAAGAATAAACAGTAGGAAATCACTAGTTAACAGATTACATATCGTTATCTTAGAAATAGTTGTTCAAGCCACAAAACCAAAGCATACAAAGTGGACTCTCAAACAGTGAGAATGCAAACAGTTTTGTTCAGTGATCCAACAAAACTCAGTAATATGGTTATTTAGCCTATACACTTAAATATATATGCAGTTATATCCTTTAGAGCACTTTCTTTTCCTTTCTTTTGTACAATGACAATTACACATTTTGGGTTTTATTATTTCCACAGTTCTTATTACTTTTTTTTTTGAAGAGAGTAAAACCAAATGTGACATAACAGAACAGAGTCGATCAAATCAAAAGGATGGACATAATAGATAATGTAAAAACAAAATATAAGGTGATCAACAATGACTGCGGTAACCTTTCTGAGCAGACTCCGACTCACGCACAGCACAGTTGTGCAAGCCAAGGCAGCTGCTTTGGCTCACCTGTGTTCTTAGGAAGGTGGTTGCTAGAGGTCTCCAGGACACTTGAAAGCAGGCCAGGTGCATGGATACCAGCAGCTGAAGGGCTAGAAGCCCGTGGCCCAAGCAGGCACAGGGCAGCCAGAATGCTGTCCAAGTGAGACAGTCTCTACCTGCAGCGTCCCCATACTCCAGACCTCAAGCAGGGACAGTCTCCTGGGCTACCTGGATGAGGGGCCCATGTTAAAATATTCCCTTGTGGAATATTTGATGGGAAAGAACCAATTCCTCTGGAGGAGACTGGGGTGCCATCATGAGGGAAGACATGCTAGGTTAAACAACCTAGGAAGATCATTTCATCATTGATAGTCATCAGCAAACTTAAAAATTAAGACAATACTCATCAATCAAATAAAATGAACAGACTTTGCTTGACTCGTGGCTGAAATGAGCCAATTATCAAAAATTATTTTTTGGACAATCAGGAAAATTTGAACTGGGAATGAGAAATAGATGATATGAATTACTATTCATTCTGTTAGATATGGTAGTGGCAAGGAAGCTACGTCTTTTAAAAAATCTGTTTAGAGATATGTATTTAAGTACAAGTAAAATACAAATATCTTGAATTTGCAATGACCAACTTGGTGAAGGCAGAGAGAACATGACTGACAAAGCAGTAACTGTTGATGCTTGCTGACAGATACACAGGATTTGTTACACTCTATTTTTGTATGTACTTGATATTTTTCATAGTGAAATTCTAAAAATTAAACTACAAGTTCATTTAACAAGTTTGAGCAACTTCGATGGGCCGGCCCTGTACTAGATTTTAAGACAAATCATTATAAAGCAGAACTGAGGGGTGTTAAAATGAGAACTGCCATGATGAGTTAAGGAAACACGAAAAACGAGAGGTGAAGTACTCTTGAAGCTACACATCCTATCTGGCAAAAGAATAACAGAACAAGTGTGACGTACACCTATAGGGACATGCATATACACGCACACACGCAGGAATTTTTCACAAGCGTTTTCAGTTTGGGGGTTTTGGAGACAGGGTATTGCTCTACTGCGCAGACTACTCTGGAATTGCTGGGCTCACAAGCTCATGCTATCCTCCTGCCTCTGCCCCTGCCTGCTGTGCCTTGGGCGGGTATGGTGCTGACGAGGAAGTGAGCACCGAGTTCCCTGCAGACGCTGCTATAGTTGGCGTTCGCCAGGGATGCAGAGGCTTTGGGCTGTGCTATTCTTACCCTGAGGAGTTTACAGATCAACTGCAGGACAGAGCCCTGAGTATCAGACACTGAGACAGTAACACAAGAGGCACCTGAGGGTCTTCTACTGTCACCCATACTTCAAGAGGACTCTAGTATTGCTCTGTACCTGAGGCTGATGCCCTTGTGTGACCCCTTCCTCCCAAGTGCAGGCAGACTCTAGTGACTTGATTCTGATAAGCAGACTACAATTAAAAAGATAATGATACTTCTGAGATTCAGTTCTAGAAAACTGTCCACCCACTTGTTCACTCTTTCTTGACCAAACTGACAGAAAGCAGATGTGGTGAGCTGCCCTCCAAAGGGGTCTGGTTTCCAACAGAGGGTGGCTGCTGATCCGCAAAGATCTAAATCGTGCTAAGAGCACAACTGGGACAATGTGGAAGTGGTGGCCCCCAACACGGCCAACACTGGGCTTCTGCTGTAGGAAACTTTGGGCAAGAGGACTTGACAAGGTCCTCAAACTCTGATTCCTACTGTCTGTTGTTTTAAGCTGCTAAATTTCAAGGTACTTTATTATGCATCGATGAATAAGGAATGCAGTCACTATCCTAATTACAGTTATGAAGCAAAATAGAACAAAATTCGCTCATTTTGTTCTAGAAGGAAAAAAATATCAGGCTCTCTTTAAGTGAGAAATTTATAAATTGCTCCATAAGGAAAACAAAGATTTTAATGTAGAGCCATTTTCATAATTAAAGCAAGGAGCACTAGAATCTATCTTTGTTAGGACAGGTTAAACTCTCAAAGGGAGCAACTTATCTGCCAAAGAAGTTTTCATTTTCATTGTTAACAAACTTAGAAAATATATATGTATACAGACACACACACACACACACCACACATTACCTGGGAGGGAGCATAAGTAATTTATAGAGCTGAATAAAGTACCTAATGCAAATACAACTTAATTTTAATTTTTCAAAGCATTTTTTAGCCATTTATCAAAAAATTAAGGCATTACTGTAAACCTAAGGGAGGCTGGGATAAATATAGGATGTTCTAACCTCCAAAAGTTCAGGAGAAATGAAAAGATAACTTTAGACAGCAGAAATGTGCTTACAATGAAACCAAAATATGTCACTTATTATTCTTCGCTGGGATCTGGTCCAAACCAACAAAGACATATTGGTTAGGTAAAATTGGAAAGGTGAGGCATGAAGAGAGTGCTTAGTGAAACTAAAAATTAAGAAGCTCAGTGGGGTTTGGTGGTGCAAGCCTGTATTCCCAGCACTTGGCAGGAGGATCATTTTGAGTTCAAAACCAGTCTGGACTACAAAGTCAGCACAAGGCAGCTGAACTGCATAGCAAGATAATGTGTCTCAAAGGCACACACACACACACACACACACACACACACACTTGCCCTCCTACCAGTATTTCGTAGCAGTATTTCTCAAAATACGGAAAAAATTTTGGTCTACTGCTTTTTCCTATTATAAAAATCAGAAATATATAGAAAGCTGAGTATTTGTCTATTAAGTTGCACTGATAAACAATTAAAGAATTCATGGGTAGCTCTTGTAGAACTCCAGGAAAGGGAACTGTCCAGTGCTCACAGTGGAATGCTATCTTCATTTATGACAAGTAAAGAAACTGCAGTACTTTTGCACAGCAAAGCTGATCCTACTCGACTCCTGCCACTTTCTAGTTCCACTTGTCACCAGGGAAACCAAGGGGAAAGCTAAATGTACCTTCTAGCTTCACTTGCTTTTGTCACTACCAGTTGAGGTGACGAAGTACCAAGCAATGTGCTCCATTAGTTTGCCACAGGGACCACAGTGCTAACAGCTGCCCAGACCGTTTTTTGGGACCTTGGAGGTAACTCAAATAGTTGGAACCACCCACCCTTCCTCTGGGCCTATGCAAATGTGTGATGGGTGGCCTAGCTTGTGACATCAGAAGGCCGAAACACCATGCTTGGAGCAAGCTGACACTGCCATCTCCTGAACGTGGATCCAGAAGGAGCCCCGTGATTGATGAGGTACAACTAAGCCACCCACGCCTCGCGCCACCTGCTTCTTTCCCAGAAGAACCCCCATGTTCTACCCTCAGGAAGGCAGATCTGAGACTTGCTCTCCCGTACTCACGCTGCCTGGTGAATCAACTCTTACTGAAACTCGTTTCAGTGACCCGTAGGATACGCGCGGGGCAAAACACGCCCAGCCCAGGACCATCACGGTGCCACCGAGTCTCACGGCCCGCGGCAGCCCGCTTCCCCCCAACCTGGACTCCGCTCCACACCCAGGCCCCCACTCGCGCAGTCGGCAGCGGTTTGCCTGAACGTCCACCGCGGCACCCAGGATCTCGGGTCCCGGTCTGAGCACACGCGAGCCGCCAGGGACCGCACGACCGCGGCCTCCAGCTCTCTCGGGCCTTACCTGGGGTGCGGCTCCTGCCTGCAGGCCGGCCGCCGAAGCTCCCCAAGGCCCCTTGCTCCGGGCGAGGATGACCCGACTCCCGAGGAACAGCCGGCAGGAAACCACCGCGCCGAGGGACGCACAGGGCGCCGCCATGTTGGCTGAGGGACACCCGGGAGGGCGGGGCGAGGGTGCAGCACTGCGCAGGCGCTGACGCGTGCTGTGCCCCCGAGGCTGTCGGGAGGAGTCAAGGCGTGTCTCGCGGCTAGGCGCATCTTGCCGCTCATTGGCTAAAAGTGTACCTGACCCATCCCTGGGCGGGGTCACAGAAGCAGGGGATTTAGCGGATGTCTTTGGGCGCGTTTTCCACACACCTGGTTCCAGTTGTCAAGTCTCTTGGACCTTGACGTCTACGCGGCTTTCTGACCAGCCCTTTCTTCCATGCCCGCTGCTGTACCGCCAGTCGTCTGTGGACCTGGCGGTTCGGCGGAGACTACCAACCACACTTCCCTCCCTCCGCATCCTCTCGCACCTGCTGCAGTCCTCGCTTGCGTCCGGTGGCTCTGGGGCCGCGAGGACTCGCGCCCGCCCTCGCACACTGAGATCGCTTCCACGGACTACCCTCGCTGCTCAGCGTCCAGGTCGAGACCAGCTCCAGCACCTGGCGCACTCTCACGCGGTGTCACTCTAGCCCGAGGACCAGCACCCAGAGTCCTGGTGCTTACCACCAAATCACATCCAGTAATCCACTCCTGAAGGCTTCCAAGCCTGAAGTATCAGTAAAATAAATCCAGAAAGTCTGAGATTGTGCAAAGTGATCGCGCAAACATACGCCACGGATAACATCATTGTCTTACAAAACAAAACATTGATCATGAAAAAAGAAACAGCATAATTTCATAATAAATATTAGGGCTTTAAATGGAATGCATCTAGTTGTATGAAAAGCTCCCCAACTTGTTTTCATTGTTATGTTTTAAATGAATGAAAAGTCCATGCGAAACTGGCAGAGGTCCATGAACTAGCATTTGGGAGCCCAGATTTCATAGCTCACTAAAATGGATGCCTTATATCAGTGCCTATATATTGCAGAATTTCTAAAAATGTATGTGTTAATAGTGGAAATTTAACTGACTAGAAAACAATCAAATATAGGGAAGCAGAATTAATATTATTACAAATAATTTATGTTGAAACATAAACTACTGATAATAGCGTTAAAAGTGGAGAATTTTTCTTTCATTATTTTTAAAACCTTGTTACATTCTTCTGTTAGAATGTGTTGAAGTTCTGCAAGCAAAGGGAAAATAAAGGGTCGCACACACCAAGGGGTCAGCACAATGGCTGCTGCAGGTCAGCTTATTAAGCAAGTAGCTTTTATTGGGATAAACAAGGAAACTCAAGTTGCGCATGCTCAAATTATGTAACTTGTTTACTTCTTGACCTTACAGGACTTCGTGTTTTTACCTTGGGGTGGGGATGATGTGTCAAGGCCTGTACTTTTCTCATAACATTGTCCACCGAATGTGTCCAGACAAAATGGAGTCAGTGTGGCCTCTCTACAAGAATGCAGTAAAGGGGCTGGGAATTTAGCTCAGCATAAGCATAAGCGCCTGCCTTGCAAGCAGGCAGTTGTGAGTTTGATCCCAGGTACCGATAAAAAGGAAAAAGACCAAAAAAAAAAAAAAAAAAAAAAATTCAGTAAAGCAAATGTAGCACGTTTCTCACTTGGGGAGGGGCACCACTTACACTATGCATTAAATCTCCTGGAGAGCCATTGAGTCAGGGGAAAGAGTGCTACAGGTTAACACTGAGCACTTAATTTGGAGAGGAAAAGATTGGAGTGTGCTAAGATACATTTAAAATATTTTATAAATGTAGTTCCTCAAATGGCTGAAGCTTTGTTTCCTTTTATTTTTCTTTCCTTTTTTGAGCACCTATTACATCATAACCATCAGTCATGACATCAGTAAGACAGAATCACATGTAAGTTGAGTCCCGGTTCTGCAGTCAATTTGCAAACACCAAGAAAGTCCAAATAATGAACTAACAGCAAGTGTTGCTAAGATGAGGCATACCAGTAAATGCCAGTAGGACTGTAAATTAATGCAGCTCGCATGAAATAAATCAACTAATCAGTGACCTGCTAAAGTCAAGGCAAAGACACTCAAAAATACAGTCAGCTGCATTTCTAAGGATATTACACTGCAGCAGGAGACAAGTATAAGAATGTTCACAGCAACTGAGGATTTAGTTCAGTGGCATAAGCGCCTGCCAGGCAAAGGCGAGGTCATGAGTTCGATCCCTGGTACAAAAAAAGGGAAGAATGTCCACAGCAACATGTTTTGTATAAAAAAAATTAACCTTTCTGTTGGCAGAAGGATGGATAAAGGAGGATCATAGAGCAATGACAGCAAAGGAACCGCAACACCCATAGGGATACGGAGAGGGATCGCCCAGTGGAAAAAAGATAGGATACGCATGTGCACACACAGTGTGATTGCGCCATGTAAAGTTGAAACATGGGAAAACTGAGCAAGACGTTGCCGAAGGGTTTATTCCTCAGGTAGTAAAAGCATAAAGGAAAGCAAGACAAAGGTAAGCACATGATTTAGGGTAATGAATACACATGGGAGGAGGGCAAGGGGCAGCATGGACAAGATGGGGCGGAGACAACTTGGTGTATGGCTGTTAGAGCAGTCCCGTGAGTACACGCATGGTACTGGTAGGAAAACACCACGTGGTGTGTGGAGGCCACTCCTCCTCCAGTGCCAGCCGGAGGGAAAGACTTGCGTAGAAAGAGAAGGAAGAGGAAGTGTTGGCGGATACGCTTGGATCTGAGTCATAAAAGGTGGCCAGCATCATTCTGGCTCTTCTCTCCTGAAAGGCCCTTTCTGAAGGGAGTGGACGTCCATCCCCCAGCAGAGCCTTACTAGCCTCCACATCTCAACCATCACCTTAGGAGTCACGGAGCCAGCACCCAGCACGGTGAGTTTACACTGAGAGTGTGACTGATGGAGGGCTCATGAGCATGGGATTGCCAGAGATGCAAATCTCTGGGGACTCCGCTGTAGGCCCACTGTACAGAGGCCCAAGGCTCAGCATAACGCCCTGCAGGTGACTCGAGATCCCTCCATGCTGTAGCATGGGTCAGAATCCCTTTCTAATGTTTGCCTAATATTCCTCTGTATGCATGGCCTGGTGTGGTTTATTCACTCATCCCCTGATGGACAGTTCGCCTAGTCCAACCGTTTATGTATTGTGAATAATTCCGCTGTGAATGGGTGTCTAAATACCTGTTCAAGTCTCTGCTTTCACTTGATGAGGGTATATGAAGTGGTGTTTAGGAAAATGGTAAAGGCTTCAATTAGAAAAATTACAGCAAAAGACATTTCTCATTAAACGCCCTCTAAATCCGCTCCCTCACTTTGGGCACACTTAGCCCCGTGATCTTGTCACTTTCTGCAGCAGTGGAGCCCTCCTTCCTGAGTGTATGTGGGTTGTCATGGCTGCCTCTGTGTCCTTAACTTAAAAGCATTTACTTAGTCATTTGGATTTTGGGGATGGTTCCAGGCCTGGTGGATAAGGTTCATGCGGAAAGACTGTGATGTTTTTATGAGTCTGCCTTTACATCGGTGGCACTTGGTAGCCGTGTTCACTGTGATTTTGGTCACACATCCTAAAGATACTCATGAAAGAGGATTTCCAGAACTGCTTTAGAAAACAGCAAGAATAAAAAAAAGTAGAAATGATAAAGGGATCAGTGAGCTCCGTTCTGTTCTGGGCGGGGCAGGGGGAATGTGGGGGACCAATGGCAACATGACCTTAACTGTAGTTTGCTTCTTTATTTAAGCAACCACCCTGTCGTTGAGACACAGCCTGTGCACTTAGAAATGCAATTTCAGATTTGTTTCTTTTTAATATAGACAGATTTTTAACTTAATTCACACAGGCAGGTGCCCAGAACACAAAATGGAAGTGATATTCAAATCCACAACTTGGAAAGTCTCTAGTTATGAAGACCACTCCCAGTTAGGTAAATTGTATACTTGATGTAAGAATATGAATCACAAAATTCACCGAAGTGGCAAAATATTTAGAAAGTAATTTCAGTATACATTGCTATATAGCAAGCTTCTATAACCATTTAAGAACAAAATCTTTCTCAGCCCAGATGTAAATCTATCTTTTGGAGATGCATACATTTCACCATATTAATTGAATTTTAATAAATAACAAATAGAACAAGTATCTTCTGTGATTCTTTTTTCACTGCTCAGTGCAGACCCAATTCCTCCACATCTGCTCCTTACCTAGGAGCTGTCAATTATGTTCGCTGTGAAATTGACAATGCACCTAGGGAGCTGTCAGTCACTGCTGTTGTGCTGCTTCAAGCATCATTTCTCCAGGCAAAGTTAACAAAAATAAAACAGATTTATGTGGAACATAAAGGTGGATCAACCGCACCATTCACTGTGCATTGAAAATATCTTCAAACAAGGTCCGGGCCAGGGACCATGTGGGCAGGGCCTGCTCTTCCTTCTCGGCATCTGCAATTTCTTCACGTAGATTTTGACATCTTTACGAAGTGCTTGTAGACCATGAAATCAGTTACTGCAGAAGGTTGATGGGATTCAAAGTGTTTCCTCTATTTGAAATAATACTAAGCCTTATCTTTTCTTTTGTGATGCTGGGACCAAACCCCAGGCCGTGTGCAAGCTGTTCAAGGATTCTGCCGCTGAGCTGTACCCCGGGCCTGATGAATGCCCCTTTCAACCATCCTGAGTAAGGAGTTGGGCTCCACTGGGCAAATAACGAGTGCAGGAAAAGATGAGCTAGCAAAAGAGCACTGAATGGCCAAGGCTATGGGCTGGATACAGTCAGGGTACTAGGACCATGAGAATTTTAAAAAGAGAGAGAGAGAGAGAAGAAAATGAACAATGAATAATATAATTGAAACCAATAAAGTCACTAAGACTATGGTGCAAATAAATACATTAATAATTGAATTTCAGAAAACTAGAACCCAGGTAAAACTCCGTGAGGCATTAAAAGATTATTTTGGGACAAATAGAGGAAGGGCCACTTTACACAGCAGAGAAATAGCTGAAAAGCAGAGCTTGTAAGAAGTCAACAGATGTAGCCTGAAAATGCAAAGTAGTCCACAGTCGTGACCCAAACCTGGAACCTGAGAAGTGTTCTGC